AACACTTAGCATACGAACTTATTTTCTCACAATGGGGACTGTTAACAGTTTTATAAACCACCCTGTTTTGAATAGCAATGCCCTGAACAAGAACAAGTGTTACCTTGGATCTGATGTCTACTAGAGCAAAGTAGAACAGGAAGGAATAAAGTAAGATCACAGAGAAAAAGATAAAATCTTTAAAATTAAGCAAAACTGAGAAATGAAACAAAAACCCCTACACTTTACAGCAAAAGCACAAATCTCATACCAAAGAATTCTCTTAGTCTATCATAAATTTGACACTTGAACTGAAAGCCAATTAAATAACCCTGAACAGTGAATAGGGGGAGAAAAATGTGAATAAATTAGGGAAAGGCCACAAGTAAGTTTTGGCGAAGTGTTACTGACAAATCTACTTATCATAATTCTTACTATGAAAATGGTATTCCCTGATACCAAAATAAGACAAAAAAGATGACACAAAAAAGAAAATTACAGACCAGTATGAATATAGATGAGAAAAACCTTAACAAAATACAAGGAAACTGACTCCAGCAACATATAAAAATAGGATTACACAGCATGACCAAGTCAAGATTTATCCCAGGAGCACAAAGTATGTGCAAAATATGAAAATCAATCAATATAAAATACTAACAGAATTATTAACAGAGTAATAATAGAATAAACAGCCCAAGCAAGATTTTTTCTGTTATCAATAAGGTCACTGAGTCAGAACAACAATAACAATAATAATACACTAAAAAATCACATGCTACTATCACTTGATACAGAAAAAGTATGAGAAATTAAACTAGGAGTAGAAAGGTACTTCCTCAATATAAAAGGTCATCTACAAAACCCACAGTTCACATCATACTTAATGGTAAAGGACTGAATGCTTTCCACTTAACATTAAGAAAAACTCAAGGAGTTTCCCCTTCTTGCAACTTGTATTCAATACTGTACTAAAGGCTCCAGCCAGGACCACTAGGGTTAAAAAGAAAAAAAAGAGGAAGGAAGAAAAGTCATCCAGATTAGAAAGAAAAAAGTAAAATTATCTCTATCTGCAGTTAACATGATCCCGTACACAGAAAATCCTAAGGAATCCACAACACTATTAGAGCTAAAAAAGGGTCCGGCAAGATTTCAAGAGACAAGATCAATCTAGAAAATGCAATTGTATTTCCATAAACTTGCAATGAACAATCTGAGAATTAAATTTAAAAACCAATTCTATTTCTAATAGCACTGAAAGAATACTTAGGAATAAATTTAATGCAAGTGCCAAGATTTGTACACTGAAAACTACAAAATACTGTTGAAAAAAATTAAAGACAACCTAAATTAAATACAATGATACCCACATCCATGGATCTCAAGGGAAGATTTAATAATGTTAAAATGGCAACACTGCCCATATTGACCTAGAGATTAAACATAATCCTTTATCAAAATTACCAAAATCTTATCAATGATCAGAAACATGATGTTATATATAGAAAATCCCTGACAATCCAAAAGAGAGCTACCAACACTAATAAGTGAATTCAGCAAAGTGCAAGGTACAAGAAGTTCAACAAACATAAATCAGCTGGGATTCTAAACAGCACCGAAGAGTAATCTGAAAAGAAAATTAAGAAAACAATTCTACGTATAATAGTATCTAAAAGAACACAGTACCTAGGAATAAACTTAACCAGGGAAGTGAAAGACTTTTGCACAATGAAAACTGTGAAATATTTCTGAAAGAAACAGAAAAAGATCTAAAATAGGAAAACATTCCATGTTCATGGATCAGACGACTTATTACTATTATCAATACTACCCAAAGCAATCTATAGGTTCAATGCAATCCCTAACAAAATTTCCACAGCCTTCTTTGTGAAATGGAAAAGTCATTTTTTAAATTCATATGAAATTGCAAGGGGCTCTGAATAGCCAAAACAATCTTGGTTGGGGGGTGGGGTGGGGTGGGGTGG